GACAATGTCATATACCTCCAAGTCCCCCAGGGTTTGTAGCACACATCTGAACATATAAATGCCCAGATCGTGACCCCCAGGCTGTCTGAACCCAGTGAATATCACACCCTCCTTAGCTTCAAAAGGCAGAGTTGCCAATGGTTCAACCTCAGGAGCCAGGGGCCCAGGCAGCCATTTCCCTCTGTAACATGTTAGCAATATGATCTGGGAATAGTCACCGCCTCTTTCTGTTGCTTATTTGTAAAATTGGGCTGATAATACCCGTTCGGTCGACCACACTGACTTCTCAGAACATGAGTTGTATTTGCAAAAGGGCTTTGCAGAGGAACTAAGAAATACACTGAATTAATACTATTTTTAAAATCATTCCAGGGCAGGTCTGCAGACCTCATTTTACAAATGAGGAAGTATAACATCATATGGAATATGATAGGATAATCTCCCGGATTCAGGGTGAACTAAATCCCTACCATTTTAGGCCTAAACACAGAGCTTCCACCCATGTCTGCTACTGCCTCCTCTCTGGCAAAATGCAAATCCCCACCTGCCTCCGGGGGCAGTTCCATCTGGACTGAAAGCTGGAGAAATATGAGGTGGCATTAATTATTCATGTGGTCATTTATTATTCTCCTTTCCCGGGGAAACTCCTGGCTGCCCTACAGGGCTTTGAAGAGAAGGGGTGAGAAGGAGCAAACCAAAATATAAGCCACTTTGTTGTGTCTTGGTTGTGCCAACAAAGGCTGTAGAATGGATGGAAGATGAGGGGTGGGTGGGAGGAGGGAGACGTGACGGGTGGCAGTGGGATGGTGAGCGGCACCAGCTCTGCCTACCTGCTGATCCAAATACTCTAGGTTTCTTTGCAACTGAAGGTCTAAAAGTTCATCCTACCCGGAGCCCGAGGCCATGAGGCCAACCAGCAACACAAACAAACAGGAACACGACAAGAAAACAATAAAAAAGAAGCAAAGCAGTTAGGAGTTAGCTGGGTAAGGACAAAGAGAGGTGTCTCTTCGCCCTTGAGGAGTCCTGGGCAGGGGAGGGGATGAGGACACGGGCAGGCAAAGCCATTCTCTCCTGGACACTCCCACCAGAGGAGGAGTGCGCCCTGGGTCCCGACTCCACCTCTCCTAGGTCTGTTTTGGCCTTCCAAGGGGGAGAGAAGCACCGCTGAAGCAATCTAGTCCGCACCTCTTAGAGCTGTTTCTGAGTTTTCCGGGAAAATCCATTGCCATTTGCTGTAGGTCAAGGCTCTAGGGTTTGGATGCTGGCAGCATCTGAGAGAGAGGGGAAGGCGCTGTAGCCCTCCCCGCCTGTCAAGGCCTCCTCCACCTGGCCTTCTGGCACCATGTACAGGGAGGGGTTAGCAATAGGCCTTCGGGGACAAGGATTCTGCCTGTGTTACCAGTGGCTCTCCCCAACCCACCCAAGGGCAGCATCTGCGTCTAGTTCTCCAGGTAGAGGCAAAAATTTTGAGGAGAATAAATTCTAGTTAAAGACTCAAGTAGAAAGGGGAGAGAAAAGGGAGTAGACGCAATATGGAACATCTTGTCTTCCTCAGTCACACCATTTGTCCCTTTCCCCAAGAGTGGCATTCTAAGCAAAGGACAGATTTGAAACAAATACATGAAGGGGGCGGGGGAGATAGTCCAGGAGATCTTGTCTGTTGTTAGGAGCTTTAGCCTGGTTTTTCTTCCCAGCCCATCACCTAAGCCCCCAGTCCAGGCCCCTTCTCCTGCACCCCGGAGAGGCATCATCAGCTGTGCTGAGGTCAAGAGGATCAGGACATTACACATTCCCAGATCTTGTCCCTGCTCCCCTGCCCTGTGTCACAGGGGAGAATGGGTAATGGGACCAAACTGTGTACTGGGGCCATGTTCCCGGCCGGGAGGGAGGAGGCATCCAGAGGCTGCTAAGAACCAGACGGGCTGGCATTGGGTGCAGGGCATCCTTGGTGTGTGCCCCAGTTTAGCCCCGCTCTGGATGGAAGCAAGGAGGGGTGGAGTGGGAGGAGAGGACGTACCATCTTATCGTGGATCGTGGGGGATGGTGGGTAGTTGTAGGGGAACAGTCCTGCAGGGACTGGCCGCCTGTCTCCCAGGTAATCATACTGGAAGAGAAAGGGGATTGGAGAGGTGAGGGGGTCCGGGTGGGACACAGGCTTCCCCACCACCTGAAGTCAAAGTTTAGGGATGTTTGTATCTCGTCCCAGAGCAGATTCCAAACTAAAATGGACAGCAGCCCCCCGGGGCAATCATCTGTTCAGGTCCTACGGATGTGAGAAGACAGAGCCCTCTAGGCCCCCTTTTATATAAGAGAGCATGGTTCCTGGCACAGCCTGGGATAAGCACAGAGAGCAGTGTTCCTGCCGATCGGGCAAGGCAAATCCCTGCAGGGCCAGCGGGTCCCTGGTCAGCATCCGTGGTCCTATAGCACAAACCCAGTGGCCCAGGGGCGCCTGCCTCTCCACCTTTTCTCATGGGGTGACGAAGGAGGGGCAGGCCGGCAGCTCACCTTGGGGGAGCTGATGGATCGCCTCATGACATATGCAGTGGGGTCGGCGTAGATGTCCTCGCTGCGGGGTGGCAGCCGCTCGAAGCGGGTGCTGGGTGAGCGGGCGGGGGAGTAAATGCGCGCGCGGCTGTAGGAGCCCTGGCTGGGCGAGCGGGGCACGGAGTGGGAGCGGGGCTGCAAGGACAGGTGGCGCAACGAGCCGGAGGCGGCGTCCAGCTCATCGTAATAGACCGGCTGCCGGGAGGGGCTGGGGATCCAGATGGTGCCATCCTGCCGCCCGCTGCCGTCCTGCCGCCCGTAGCCGGGGGGCTCCTTCCACTCGCGCAGCTGGTAGGCAGGCCCGCCCCCATTGCGGAAGGTGTGGCGCTTGTCCTCCAGGGCCCAGGGTGCGCTGATCCGATCATAGGCAGGCATGGAACAGATGCTGTCCGGCCGCACCCCGGGGGGGTAGTACTGGTAATCGTCAGGGTACTGGGGAGAGTAGGGGCCATAATACTCAGGGACCCTGCGGGACATTGGGTAGAACCTAGAAGGACTGAGAGAGGAAGAGTGTAAAGAACCCACACAAAACAGGTGCGTCTCCATCCGCCAGCCATGCCCCGCCCACCCCCAGGTCTTCGAGCCTAAGGCAGGTTTGAACCAACTGGTGGTGAACCCAGAGGGGCTGCTGCCCACACCATGAGGTCTGTTTCCAGAGGGGTAGCGAAACCACCCCCTGTCCTCAAAGCTCCCTCCCTCAACCAGCTGCTCGATGCTGGGAATGTCATCATTTAGAGCTTCAATCGTTGTCTCTTTAAACGAAACCCTCCTGGGAAAAACTTGAAGCCCTATTGGCCAACTTCATCTCAGTGTGAACCAATTTATCAGATCTTTTCCGGAGAGTACGTTTGAAGGAGGGCAAATAGAAGACCCCAAAGAGGGCCTCTTGCGCTGGGCAATTTTGTCGGGGTTGGTGCGTGAGGAGGAGCAAACAAGGATCCACCCTCGCTTCATGATCTGGTCAAGCACAGAACCAGCACGTTCCTGGGACCCTCTCCCAAAGCAGGCCAGATGCTCCCAGGCGTCAGACCACCAGCTGGGAACTGGAGCTCAGGCCACTAGGGGGCAGGCTCCTCACAGGCCCCTAGGCCTCCCTGAGGCTGTTACCTGTGGTCCCTGGGGCTGCCCAGACCCCCCAGGAGAGGAGCCAGCGGACTCACTTGCCCTGAGGGACACAATCAGGCATGATAAGTGTCTTCAAATATTTCGACGCCAGTCACTGGATAAAGGAGTAAATGGGTCCTAGAGGGCAGAACTGGGACTGATGAGAGCAACGGCTTGTTTGCTTTTTCTTTAGCATCATATAAATAATGGCTTTCAAACAACGGTTGTTGTTCGCTGCCTTCCAGTCAGCCCCTGCCTCATGGCAACCCCACGCACAATGGGATCAGACAGATGTGATCCATAGGGTTTTAACTGGCTGATTTTTGGAAGTAGATCTCCACACCTTTCTTCCTAGTCCTAGTCTAGAAGCTCCATTGAAACTTGTTCAGCATCAAAGCAACACGCAAGCCTCCACTGACAGGTGAGTGGTGGCTGTGCATGGGGTACATTGGCTAGGAACTGAAGCGGGGTCTCCTAAATGGAAGGCATGAATTCTACCACTGAACCACCGCTGTGCTGTTTAAAAAAAGCTAGAGCTGTTCAAAAATGGAGTGGATTGGGTTGGTGTTTAGTGAATCTTGTGTTGTAAGAGGGTTCAAAGCCTGGCGAACGTATGGCCAGAACAGCTTTTAGGTTCCCTCCCTGTGACTGAGAATATTGTCTGATATAGTACTGGAAGATGAGCCCCCTAGGCTGGAAGGCACTCAAAATACACAGTGGCCTCAACAATGGACTTGAGAATACCAACGATTGTGCACAGGACTGGACAACATTTTGTTCTTTTGTGCATGAGGTCGCTGAGTCAGAGCCAAGTCAATGGCAACTATCAACAACAACAACCCTCTGACTGACACTGCTTGTCCCCTGGGCCACCCAATACCCTTACGGAGGGGCAATGAGCCCCTCTGTTCCTTCTTCTGAAGAAAGTAGACTGAGAAAGCAAGAAGCAGGGGCAGAGGCCAAACTCTAAAGATGGAGCCATGTGGCAGGAAAGGATTTGGGCAAGCTGGGAAGCATGGGATTTTCTTGGTTTCCCAACTCAACCCAGTTTCCAGAGTTTCCAGTAGGTAATGCCTCACATGTTACTATCCCATTCCCATCCTGAGGCACAACACCATCTCAACTCCACCTCACCTCCCACCAGGCCTCACCTCCGAAGGTCTTCGGAGGGTTGAGGCACCCCCCGGCGGAGGTTCACCCACTGCTGGAGCTGATTCATGGAGCTCTTGCGCTGGGCAATTTTGTCGGGGTTGGTGCGTGGTGGGAAGCTCCGCCGGTGTCCCCGACTCTCTCCGTCCTGAGGTGGGAAAGCTTTGCTCCCCGGCCGGCTTGTAGAGCTATATTGCCAGCCGTTGGGCTGCGCGGCCTGCTCCCCGCCCCCTGGGGCCCTTGGGCCCTCAGGGTAAGGGCTGCCCGGCTCTGAGGCTGGTTCTGGTCCAGGTTGGATGCCATTGGCTTTCACCAGAGGCTCTTTCTTGACTTCAGGCCTCTCGGGCCTCCTCTCTGTCTTCTCGCAGCCTCGGCCATCACCCTCCCCTCGAGTCTTGGCCTCTGGCTCAGGCTTGGGGAGGCTGTTGTGGGGTGGCTGGTGGTGGTGTTTGCTGGGTGGAATGTTCTCTGAGTCTGGCTTCTCATGGCTGCAGGATGCCAACAGAGACGTTGTAAGTGACTCCAGCCCAGTATGGAGTTGGGTGGGGAGTGGTGGACTAAGAAGGAGAAAAGGAAGGCAGAAGGATGGGCAGGAAGGTACCAATGGAAACAGGATTCAGTGAATTACAGTTCGGTTTCCTAAATCTTACCACTTTATCTTCTTGCTCCGGCCACACTGGGCAATTATTATAAAACCTAATCGTAGCCTGCCTTGGAGTCCTTGGGTGGTGCAATGGTTAATGTACTTGGTGCTAACTAAAAGGTTGGTGGTTCAAGTCTACCCAGTTCATGAATGCATGAACTCCTGGAACTATGGCCCTTGGTTGAAGCTAAGATGGAAACTTGGGACAATTTTCTCCCAATAGCTTGCCAAATTAGACATATTCAAGTGTCCTTGTGAAAACATGGCTTGGTAAACATTTCTAAGATATATGGAGAGACTCTTGAAGTCTATACTGAAAAACTCCTTCTTCTGGATCCCCTTTAACACCTAACTCAAGACTGCATACCCAGTTAAAGTAGAGGCTGGCACTGAGGCTGTGGATGCTGATGGGGGTGTATGTGGTGTGAGGAAGGGGATGGGAGGAGCCACAGTCTGAGTGCTGACTGCATGGAAAGTATTTACATATACTATTTAGTCCTCACAACAACCCTGTGAGGTAGGGTTCTAAGTCCTGTTTTTGATGGAGAAACTCAGGCTCACAAAGGTTAAGTAATTTACCCTGAGGTCACACTGTGAGCAAATGGCCAAGTTGGGATTCAAACCCAAGTCCACCTTCTTCCAAAGGCTGTGTGTAACCACATGACCAGCAGAGAAAATGCAGGAAATGACCCTGACCTCTGGCCCTCAGCCAGGCCCCGGTGGAACATGGCTTCTCCCTTGAACTCCACCAGCTCAGAGAAGGGGAGGAGAGGCCATGGGTTCTGAGATCACTTAGTCTGGAGTAACAGGAAGGTGAGACCAAGTGGAATTTTATTACAAGAGAAGGGCAACACATTTTTTCTGTCTCCACTGAAATTTGAACCATAGGAAATTAAGTAACAGTAGGACAGATTTTTAAGTTTACTAGTAAAACGTCCTGAAGGTCAGATTTGCAGGTTCCCTATTTATGAGTCTCTTTCCCTCAGAGCCTTAGGTTACAGAGAAAACCAAATCTAAACCAGTTGCTGTCAAGTCAATTCCAACTCATGGCGACCTCATGTGTGTCAGAGTAGAACTGTACGCCATAGGATTTTCAATGGCTGATTTTTCAAAGGTAGATACCAGGCCTTTCTTTTGAGGTGCCTCTGGGTGGATTCAAATCGCCAACCTTTAGGTTAGTAGCTGTGCACCTTAACCATGTGTGCCACCCAGGGACTTCTAAAGCATAGAGAAAGTGCCTGCTTTTAGAGCTGGGTGAAGGGTATCTTTCTTGGAAGCAAGGAGATGACTTACATGCTCTTTGGAGGTCCAAGCTGGGCTTGGCAATGGTATAGAGTTGGGCGTGTCTTCAGTCCTCCTCTTTCTCTAGCAAACCACCACCCCCTCCCCCCCACCTGGTACCCTGTCACTTACTTGTCGCGCACAGCTTGAGGTGCAGATTTCTGGGCTGGGGGGATCTGTACTCGGGCAGCTTCCCCCATGGCCTGGATCCAGGCCTCCTGCTCCTCGGGGCTCTCAGCACTGAAGAAGTAGGTACGGACACCCGCATGCTCGGCCTGTGGGGAGAGGCAGTGCGTGGAACTGGCCCCGGCCTCGTCCACCCAGCACACAGTTACCTGTAGGAGAGGACAACACCACCCACAGAATGGGTGGTCAGGAAGCCATTCCCTTCACCTACAGCACTTTACCCCACATGGAGCTCAGGGCAAGGTGAGGAGGGTGGCCTACCACTACCCCCAGTGCTCCAGCTGGCATCCAGGTATTTGCCTTGGTTGACTCTCTGGATACCACTCAACAGCCCAATATCCAGGTAAGCTTACCTGTCCCACCTGAGGTGATCATAAGAAGGAGGGACAATTACCATGCCCACTCTCCCCTCAAATTCCATCTTTAATCTGAAGGACAATTACCCAACATCTAAGAAGATGCCCCCCACCCCAAGCACATGCCATTCTCATGCCCAGCTTCACTGCTGAGAAGCTGGCACCGTCTCTCCCATAAGGAGAGACAGCCCAACCTCTCTCTCCATGGGCATGCAAGGGGCATGCGCTGGCATACAGAAGGGGCACGCTACCTAGTTGTTGGCTGCGAGCAGGCACAGCAGGCGGGAACCCAGAAGAGAGCTCCTGTCCAGAGGAGGGGTCCTCACACGGTCAGAAGGAACAGAAGCAGAGAACAGGTCAACCAAACACCAGAGGGAGAGACAGAGACCAACGAGGCGGGAAATGGTGAGAAGCATAGTGAAGGGGGTGAGGTATTCAGACTGCCCCATTCTAGTAGGTGTCACCAATGGGATCACAGCACCTGGCAATGCACAGTTCGGCCCACCAAAGGAATTTGGGCTGGTGGTGGAGAGTAAATCAGTGTTCCAAATACTAATGCTGGCTCTTCCTGTCCTGCTCTGTAACTGCAAATAAGATAGGCTTTCACTCTGGCCCTAACTGATGCGCCTGTGTGATGGGAGGGTCTACCCAGTGAAACTCAGAGTTCTGGGGCCACAAGAAAAACATGCTCCAGGGTTAGATTCTTCCTGCCCTTGTTTACCCTATTCCATGGGGTTACTGTTGTAAAGTCACTTCAGCCTCAGACCTCTTCGGTGCTAAATCTGGGGTTGGAAGAAGAGAAGGCCTGGCTCCTCTGACCAAGCCCCCGCTATCCTGAGCAGCAACATCAAACCCACTCACCAAATGCTCACCCAGCCTGGCCCTCCTGGGACTCCGTCCACTGCAGTGCCAGCCCGCCGCGCCCCCACATTTCCTCATGACTCGGGCTCTTTCTGACAAGAACCAGCCATTGCCCAGCAAGGGCATGTCCTATTCTCCATGGGCAAGGACGGGCCTCCTTCCTCTGGCTCCAGGCAGTCTCCACCCCCCAGCAGAGGGCTCAGCATGTGAGCAGAAGTCAGGGTGGGTGTGGAAAGGGGCAGGGGAGGTGCCGACTAAAACCATAAAGCTGAAAGGAGGCATCTCGAACTTCAAACTCAGCTGCACCAGGGTGTAGAGAGCGGAGGCCTGAGCAGGCCCTCTGGGGCAGAGAACACAGGGTTACTGTGCAGAAAAGAGAAGCACAGGCAGGGACTGGTGGGTGTGGACAAGGAGTGGGCAGGGAGTGAATTCATCAGTCGATAAGCATGTAGTGGACAGCCTGCCCTGGGCACCAGTCACCAAGGAGGAGACATGGTGTGTGCACTTGAGCCCGCAGTCACCCTGGGAGACAAAGCACGCCCACGGGAAGCAGAAGCGTAAAGGCACGGGGCAAATGCTTGTGACAGGGAGGCAGGGGGCCTGGGAGAAGACAGGGCCATTGATGGGGAGCTGGGAGGGGCCACCAGCCTGGAACTGTGAAAGGGGGCCAGAGAATTGAGGGAGGTGTCCCAGTGGCGTGGAGCCCACGGAGCCCCCAAGGGCTGGGCTAGGAGAGGTTAAGGCATTCAGTGGTAGGCTGGGCAGGAATAGCTCCTGGCTCCTCGCTGAGCAATCCAAGAGTTTCCTTTGGTGGCCAAAGCCGGATAAGTCTCCTGTCTGTCTCAGCTCCCCTGCCGTCCCTGGGGAAGGGCCACTGAATAGTCACAATCAGAACCCTTTGTGAGCCACGGAGCACAGCCCTCAGAGTTGAGTTTTAAAGAGGCAGTGCCCTCCCTGGGGGAGGGAAAGAGGAGGGCATTTGCGGGGGGCATGGCAGTGGTATCTGGGGTTCTGGAGAGGGCGGGTGTCCATCGCTCAGGACATCGTCTAATGCCTGCAGCCAGCAGAGTTTTGTGCTCGAGCGTGCGTGCGTCTGTGAACAGGTCTGGTGGGGAGGGTGAGACAGGCTGTTTGATCGTGTGTGGGTGCATCTGTGTATAGCGTGGCTGTTCGTTGTTGGTTAAACAGCCTGTTCCTATTTCCCCAGCTAGAACCCGACTCCCCAGAGTCAGAGCATTATTAATTGTTCATTCTATTCACACCTCTGGCATACAAGACCCTGCGAGGCTGGAAACTAATTATGTGCCGTGGAAGCGCCTCCTTGGCCCCCACAGGACCCCCTGTGTAAGGTGCCCACCTCTTTTCTGTGGCCAGGTGACCACAGTCTGAAGAACAGGAAAGGTCAAGGGTGTCCGAGGCTCTAAGAGCTCAGACGCTGACCTGGCATGACCTGCAGGTCCTATCAGCCAACATTATGGCTTTGAGAGAGAGAAGGGTTTCTACTAAGAAAAATGTATGGTTGATATTATGATTTTATATTTGGAAAGCAAGAAAGAACCTATGGTTTTTGCACCATAAAATACACTAAGGGCATGGGATTTTTATAGTTTCTAATGGGTCATGAATTGTTAAATGTGGAAAAACACAGGCCTCGGATCAGCCAGCTGCAGGCGCATCTTTGATGGGTGGAGCCCCTGGGGTTCAGAGGGAGGCACGCTGAGCAGGACGCTGAGCCCCAATTTTGCGTGTATTTGTTGGTTCAAATTTTTGTCTGTATAAGGTGTACTCTCTTGCTAGTAATGAAACTCGAGTCCTAATTTTTCCAAAAGATTGAAAATGTGAGTAAGTTTGATGGGAGCCCTGTCTCTTAGGACCAAGGTGGGAGGCAGCCTTTCATGAAGGAATCTCAGCCCCTCCAGCCCACAGCTCCTGCCTCTGCTGTGAGGGATCTCCAGATTCCAGGCCACTGGGCAGAGGGTCCACGGCCTCAGGGTGTGGCTCTCTTCCCCAGGGAAAACTGCGAGACCACTGAAGCATATCTCTGCTGGCCCACCCACACCCCGAGGAGGAAGAGGAGGGGTCCTCTCACAGACTCAGCTTTACAACTGCCTGTAGTGAGTCCAGGGGCCATTGCCTACCGCCCCCCCGCCGCCACCACCAGAGTCCCTTAGGGAGACGGCTCTCCATCCCCTTCTCCATCCCTGGGTGCTCTAAAAGAGCACCTCCCTCACCCACCTGGCCTGGGAGAGGAAGGCCAACTGACCTTAAAGGTGTGTTTTCGGCTGATGTTGTCTGAGGGCTGCACGGCAGCCACCCGGAAGCTCAGAAGGGGGATGCTGCCCAGGATGCTGTCCTCCTTCTCATCTGCCAGGAGGTAGAGGCAGAAGTGAGATATGTGTGCACACACATGCACATGTACAGGGAGGAGGGGCGAGGAGTATGCCAGCCCTATTACAATAAATATTTGTTGCTCATCTATACTTGTCATGTTCGCAGGGCCACCACATACAACCACACAGGTGTGCACTGCCCAGCACCAAGAGGCACACTCCCTGAAGCTGGGCAGCCTGGTGCTCCTGCAGACACCTCTAGACACTGGCACTTAGTGGTGAATAGGAGAGAAATGCCCGTTCCCAGGGAGCTTACATTCTAGTTGTTGTTGTGTGCCACCGAGTCAATTCCAACTCATAGAGACCCTATATGACAGAGGAGAACCATTCTATAGCTTTCCAAGGCTGTGGTTAAGTGCTTGGCTGCTAACCTAAAGGCCGGTGGTTCAAACCCACCAGCCGCTCCATGGGAGAATGATGTGGCAGTCTGCTTCCATAAAGATTTACAGCCTTGGAAACCCTATGGGGCAGTTCTACTCTGTCCTACAGGGTTGCTATGAGTCAAAATCGACTCGACAGCAATGGGATTTTGGGTTTAATCTTTATTGGAACAGATCATCGGGTCTTTCTCCTGCAGAGCCACTGGGTGGGTACAAACTGTCAACCTTTTGGTTCGCAACCAAGAGCTTAACCATTATGCCACCAGGGCTCCTTCATTCTATTATAAAAGCAAATAAATAAGAGCTAACATTTTTGGGGTGCTCACTATATGTCAAGCAGTGTTCTAAGTTAAATGCCTTAATGCACTTAGCTCTCCCAACAATCCTATAAGTAGGTACTATTATTACCCCCTTTTTATAGGTAAGGAAATTGAGACACAGAGAGGTTAAGTAAATTTGTCCAATTTACTTAAGTGGTGAAATTAGTCTCTGAACCCAGGAAGTCTGACTTCAAAGCCAGCATTCTTAACCACTATCCTATACTCCCTCTCTAAGCAAGACAATTCCCACAGTGATACATGAACCGGGTAATGGGTGGAGCGTGGTGGAGTGGACAGTACCATCCTCAGCTATCTGGTTCCTCAGGGCAACTGCATCTTGGGTTCTCCCAGGCATCCAGCAGATTGCTTTGCTTTCTCCTACTGCCGTAGATCCACTTCCCAGTACCCTCCTGCCCCCCACCCCAGGCATCTCCCTGGGGAGACATGCCCACTGCACGCAGCCTCCTGGCCGCCTCGCTTGGAATCAGGCTCACAATCAAGCTGCTACATAATTCATCCTGGATCTCCAAAGGAGCCTGCTGGATTAGCTGGTGGGGCACCAGCTGTCAGCAGGAACCAGAAAGAGAGGGGTTCCTGGTGGGCCAGGTGGGGGCAGCCACGAGACCTAGGGTATGAGGCCACGGCAAGACACTCCTCACTTCCCTAGGCCTGCCATTTAACCCCTGTGTTTTGGACTCGGGAAAACCTGAATTCAGGGCTCAGAAGAAACCTTGCTAAGGGCTACAAACTCCTCTAGTGCCCCTTCTCCTCTTACTTGTCATCTCCAGACCCTGGCCTCTCTGACCAGACTGCAGCGTGGTGCCCAGAGGAGAGTGTCCAGAGGAATAGGAGAGGCCCGGGGCTGGCTGCAGGGGATGCTGAAGTTGTCCATCTCTGGGAGACGTGGAGTCCCTGTCTAGTAGAGGCCAGGTCAGCGTTGGAGGGGCGTCCTAGGACCATCTCTTGGTGGACAGCAATCCCCATTTCAGTGTGTCTTGCCCTTTCAAGTTCTCCGTTTTTTGAGCTTCAGCCCTCATCGCCATGAGGCAGTGGTGGTTCAGTGGGAGAATTCTCACCTCCCACATGGGAGACCCAAGTCTGATCCCACCAATGCATCTCATGTGTACCCATCTGTCAGTGTGTGTTGCTATGATGCCGAACAGCTTTCCGTAGTGCTTCCAGACTAAGATGAACTAGGAAGAAAGGCCTGGCGATCTACTTCCAAAAACCAACCAATGAAAACTTTATGGATCACAATGGTCCAATCCATAACCAATCATGTGGATGGCGCAGAACCGGGTAGCGTTTTGTTCTGTTGTGCATGGGGTCACCATGAGTCGGGGGCCAACAACAGCAGCTAACAACAACCCTCACTGCCAGTCCCGAAGTCCCTCCTTTGCAGAGACCCTGGCTTTCCTCCCAGTTCTTTTCACACTCTGGCTCCATGCAGTCCTGGATCCCAGGGCCAAGCAACTGGCCCCAGGCCTGGGCCGATTCTTCTCCTCAACCTGGGGTTTCCTCTGTGACCCATACCCTCTATGCTCAGCCTCCCCCTCATTTCTCTCCTCGGGGTTCAGGTGGCAGCAACTCAGGGTGCAAGGGCAGCAGCACTCCAGGGGGTCACTGTGTACAACCCTTGTTTGCTGAAGTTAATGATTCACCAGATTGCTCTCTGGAGCCCTGGAGAGATCAGGGCTCTGCCATTTGCCAGGCAAGCAAGCGAAGGAAATAACCTCTCCTGCTTCAAAATAATTTTACCCTCTCTCCTCCTGTCCCCCACGCCTGTCTCCTCACAGGCATCAGCATGAGGCGACCGCTACTGTCATCGACCCTTGCTATCTCCCTCGGTGCCCATCTTGACACCACGTACATAGTTTTAAAATAACTTCCTAGAGGCGGCTGCAGAGCTTTGTCTGCAGACCTTCTCAGATCTCTGCCCTCCTTTTCTGGTATAGGGTAGGAGTGAGCAAAGCAGGTGGAAGCTGGGATATTCGTTTCTTCAGCATTGATTGAGCACCTACTATGTGCTGTGGATATAGCTGTATACAAAGCTGACAAAATTCCTGTCTTTGTGGGGGATCAGGTCGTTTGTTTGGGTGGGACAGGAGGAAGATTAACCTACAAGTCCAATCAGTAGGTCTCTGGCCGACGGGTCTTCCTCTTTTCCTCTCTCCCTCACCCCCTCTGGGACTTCATTATCCATATGACTGCCTTGTTCACCTGCTCTACCACCAACCAGGGCCTAGAACTCAGCCTGAAACCTTGTAGGCATTCAATAAATATGTGTTGAATATGGAGGGAGGGAGTGAGTGTGTGAGTGAGTGTCTGAGTGTGAATATACCTGTGTGTGTGTGAGGGAATGAGTGTGTAAGTGTGAGTATACCCATGTGAGTGTGAGTGTATGAGTATGAGTGTGAGTATGTCCATGTGTGTGAGTGTATGTATGAGTGTGTGAGTATGCCCATGTGTGAGTGTGAGTGTATGTCAGTATATGAGTGTGTGTGAGTATGCCCATGTGTAATTATGCCCACGTGTGAGAGTGAGTGTATGTCAGCATGAGCGTGTGAGTGTGAGTATGCCCATGTGTGAGTGAGTACGCCTGTGTGTGTGTAAGTGTGTGTGAGAGTGTATAAGTGAATGAGTAAGTGAGGTTTGTCCTCCCACTGTCATGGTTCCTGGGACTACAGTGAGGAGATCTATCCTACCCCAGCCATGTCCACCCGAAGCAGAGTCCAGTAAAACCCACTGCCATCAAGCTGATTCCAACTCACAGCGACCTTATAGGGACAAAATAGAACTGCCCCATAGGGTTTCCAAGGCTGTAACCTTTCTGGAAGCATATTGCCACATCTTTCTCCTGCGGACCAACTGGTGGGTTCAAAACACCAATATTTAGGTTAGTGGCTGGGTGCTTAACCGCTGTGCCACCAGGGCCCCTTGCAGAGCCCAGTAGTATGGCAGAATGAGAAAGTGGTGAGCCTTGGCTTCCCACCGCCCCCTCTAGCCCAAGGGGCAACCTCACCTTTATAGTAGAAAAGACAGCGATCCACCAGGACGAACCAGCGCTTGTTCCACTGCTTCACCCCGGAGCTGGCCTGCAGGACACGTGGAGAGACAGGCGTGAGGGGCTGTAAGCTGGGCAGGGGGAGGAGGGGCTGCAGTAGAAGGAGAGCTGCACTAATTATCAGGACGTCCTGGCTCTCGTTGCAGCTCTGTCACTAACGAGCGGCAGCAACCCACGTGAGGCCTCAGAGGCAGGGAAGTGACATTAGATTATTGCCTGTGACCTTCCAGTTCTGTCACTCTGGGGCTGAGTGTCTCCTCTGGAAAGATAAAAGGGGCAAGAGACGAGCCAGGATGAGAGCACAGACGGCAGACAAGGATAGCGGCAAGGTCAGCGTGGGGAGGACTGGAGGGCAGAGGCAGCCCCCTCTACAGTCTCCATAGAGGGGACTTCTAGACTCGAAGGAGACACCCTCCCCATAGCAAGACGGACCTGCTGAGAATGAGCCAGTGGGTTGCTCTTACAGGGATGGTGACCTAGCACATTTCAAAGTCACCTCATCTGCCCATCAGGCGACCTGGCTGGATTCCCAAGTCTAACAAGAATTTTTCTGTGTGACCTTGGGGAGATAGTTTCTCTGAGCCTTTATAAACCAAGGAGGAGACTGGTAAAACCACAGAGGGGTTCCAACGCTATGAGGACTAAGTGGGGTTGGCGGCAGGCAGCACGGCAGAAGCGGCCTCACCTGTTTGAAGAGCCAGCCTGACCTGGCGACGGGGGCATTGGGGTTCCGCTTCATGGAGTGTGAGCGCTTGCCAAAGGCGATGGCTTTGCGGGATGTGCGAGTCGCCTAGGGAGGGAGAGAGAGAACCTGGCCTGACTGTCTTCCCTTCTTCCTTTCTCCTCTATTTGTAGGAGCTGCGTCCCCCTAGGCCTACTTCCGGGAGCCCTCACTTACCAGAGGCTCCCTTGTAAGAGGTCCAGGTGTGAATTTTGGATTTGTTACTAACTCAAGAGAAAAAAAACAAAACCAGTTGGCATTGAGTTGATTCTGACTCATGGTGACCCCACGTGTTGCAGAGTAGAACTGTGCTCCATGGGGTTTTCAAGGCTGTGATCTTTAAGAAGCAGATCGCCATGCCTTTTTTCCGTGTGCCTGTAGGTGGTTTCAAACCACCAACCTTTCGATCAGTGGTTGAGCCCTTAACCATTTGCATTACCCAGGTTCTCCTAACTCAAGGGCACAACTTTTCAATTCTTTGGCTCTCTTTTCTCATCTCTAAAATGGGACTCAAGATAATAGTCCTACCTGTCTCACAGCATTATTTGAGGAGAAAATAAGATTCCTCATTTTGCTCCCAGCCCATCCTCTCTCTACTGTCCTTACGCTCTACCCCTTTCATGCTTTTTGGAACCTGCTCAGCTGTGAGTAGATTCCCCTATATCATCCTCTCAGAGGCCTATTCATTCTCTCATGCCCAGCGTACCACAGAGCTGGGAGAAGAATCACACTGTAGGACAGACTGAGGCCACTGCAGACTCACATTCTCCACCCCAACGGGCTCAACCCAGACAACGACTCCACACCCTCACCATTCTCCCAGGCCCTCCAACCTCCTCTGCCTCCCACAGTGGATGTTGCTCCTTCTTTACAGAGAAAATGGAGGCTGTCAGAGACGCACTTCCTCAACTTCACACCCCCTTACCTAGAAAACGACTGCCCTTACCACCATCTTTGCCTCTTTCCCTCCAATGTCAAAAGAAGAGGCGTCGTCCTCCTTTTCAAGGCTAACACTTCTGACCTGCCATCTCTGAGCCTTTGCTCAGACTGTCTCCTCTCACCGTCCCTTGTCCACCAACAAGTATCAACTCATCTTTTAAAGCCTACCCCAGGCTCCCCCAGTTCCATGAAACCTCTCCAACCACTGTGAGCAGAGTTAGCAGGTCCCTACTCTCTGTACATTCTTAGAGTCTAAAACTTGTCACAATGTTACGGAACCATCGGCTTGCTGTCACTAAGTGTGAGCTCTTTTCAGGGAGGGACTTCTGTTTCATCTGTTTATCACAGAGCTTAGCAAGGTGTCCAGTCATAATAAGCACTTAGTAAATATTTGTAGAAGGGCGGAAAGAAGAGATTGGGCTTTATAATGAAGTTCCCCAAAACTAGGTCTCCAGGTAGTACAGTTTGTACTTGACTGCTAACCTGAAGGTTGGAGGTAAGTCCATTAAATGGGGGACAGTCTCTTTAACAAATGGTGCTGGCAAAACTGGATGTCCATTTGTAAAAAAATGAAACAGGACCCATACCTCACCCCATACACAAAAACTAACTCAAAATGGATTAAAGACGTAAATGTAAAACCTGAAAATATAAAGATCATGAAAGAAAAAATAGGGACAACACTAGGGCCCCTAATATATGGCATAAATAGAATACCAAACATAATTAAAAATGTACAAACACCAGAAGATGAACTAGATAAATGGGACCGCCTCAAAATTAAACACCTATGCTTATCAAAAGACTTCTCCAAAAGAGTAAAAAGAGAACCTACAGACTGGGTGTCTTAGTCATCTAGTGCTGCTCTAACAGAAACATCACAAGCGGATGGCTTTAACAAAGAGAGGTTTATTCGCTCACAGTCCAGAAGGCTACAAGTCTGAATTCAGGGCATTAGCTCCAGGAGAAGGCTTTCTCTCTCTGTCAGCTCTGGAGGAAGGTCCTTGGTATGGGAGCATCTCAGCGCAGGAACCTCAGGGCCAAAGGACGCGCTCTGCTCCCAGCACTGCTTTCTTGGTGGTATGAGGTTCCCATGTGTCTCTGCTTGCTTCTCTCTTTTATATCTCAAAAGAGATTGGATTAAGACACTATCTAATCTTGTAGACATCATCAGTATAACCTCATCACAGTGATAGAGTTTACAGCACATAAGGAAATCACATCAGATTACACAATCATACAATACTGGGAATCATGATCTAGCTAAGTTGATATACACATTTTTGGGGGGACACAATTCAACCCATGACACTGGGGAAAAAATTTTGGCTACTATGTATCTGACAATGGCCTAATCTCTAAAATTTATAGAAAACTTCAGCACCTCAACAACAAGAAGACAAATAATCCAATTTAAAAATGGGCAAAAGATATGGACAGATACTTCACCAAAGACATTCAGAGGGCTAACAAGCACATGAAGAAATGCTCGCAATCATTAGCCATGAGAGAGATGCAGATCAAAACTACAAAGAAATACCCTTTTACTCTGATGTTACTGGCACTAATTAAAAAAAAAAAAAAAACAGAAAATAACAAAAGTTGGTGAGGTTGTGGGGAGATTGGCAGTCTCACACACTGCTGGTGGGAATGTAAAATGATACAACCACTATAGAAAACGGTATGACACTTCCTTAAAAAGCTAGAAACAGAAATACCATATGACCCAGCAAGCCCACTCCTAGGTACATACTCTAAAGAAATAAGAGACATGATATGAATAGCCATATGCACACCCATGTTCACTGCAGCATCATTCACAATAGCAAAAAGATGGAAACAACCTAAGTGCCCATCAACAGATGAATGGATAAACAAAACTACGGTACATACACACAGTGAAATACTACACAAGGATAAAGAATAATGATGAATCCATGAAACATCTCACAACATGGATAAGTTTGGAGGGCATTATGCTGAGTGAAATAAGTCAATCACAAGAAAAGGTTTACACACAGGAAAAAAAAAAATTCTTCGATGGTTACCAGGGATGAGAGGGGGAGGCAGGGAAAATTACCAGATAGATAGAAGACACGTGTTAATATTGGTGAGGGGAAAGGCAATACACAATATGGGGGAAGTCAGCAAAACATGAGCAAGGCATGGGAGGACACTGAGAGGAACACAAGAACAAAGAGCAACAACAGTAATTACTATAGCATAGAGAATCCTACAAAAACAGTATTAACAAACACTAATTTAGGAAAGGATACATAGGTAGATAGGTATGTCAAGACATGTGGGAGGGTGTAAGGGAGCACATCTACCTGTAGATATAGGTTTGGTGGTGGATATTTCTACAGACATAACTGTAGGTGCTGTTTATATATTAATATAGACAATACAGCACACAAAGGCCACAGTCAGGGCAACTTCTTAGATACAACCAAACACCTCGCAGGAGGAAGTTCCTAGGCTTGAAGGCAAAGGACCATAGACTCAGGGGACATCTAAGTCGGTTGGCACAACATAGTTCGTAAAGACAAAGCTCTGCATCCTACTTTGGTGAGTAGCATCTGAGGTCTTAAAAGCTTGCAAGTGGCCATCTAAGATGCAACTATTGGTCTCTCACCATCCGGAGCAAATGAGAGTGAAGAAAATTAAAGACTCAGGGGGAGTAATTAGACCAAAGGATGAATGGACCACATGAACCACAGCCTACACGACCCTGAAACCAGAAGATGGTGTCCAGCTGCCACTACTGTCGCTCTGACTGGGATTACAACAGAGGGTCCTGGACAGAGCGGGAGAAAAATTGTGGATCAAAAAATCAAATTCACAAAAAAGACTAGACTTATTGGTCTGACAGAAACTGGAGGAACCCCCGAGACTATGGCCCTAAGACACTCTTCTGAACTGGAACTGAAGCCATTCCCAGAGACCACCTTGCAGCCAAATCATGGGCAGGCCCATAAAATAAACAATAACACCCGAGAGGAACATGCTCCTTAGAACAATCAATTATGTGAGATCAAAAGGGCAACACTTGCCCAAAAGCAAAGATGAGAAGGCAGGAAAGGGTAGAAAATCAGGACAAAATTAAACGGGGAACCTAGAACGGAAATGGGGAGAGTGCTGACACATTGAAGGGAATGAAACCAATGTCATGGAACACTTTATGTACAAACTATCGAATGGGAAACTAATGTGCCCTGTTAACTTTCACCTAATGCATAATTAAAAAAAAAAAAGTTTGGAGGTTTGAACCACCCCCAGTGGTACTGCAGAAGATAGTCCTGGCAATCTGCTTCTGTTAAGATTACAGCCAAGAAAACTCTATGGAGCAGTTCTACTCTGTAACACATGGGGTCGATGAGTCAGAATCAACTTGATGGTAACAACAATAATCCCGAAACTGAGAAATAAGATTATTTTCTGAACATTAAACTAGTAAAAATCCATATATAATGGCTGATACTAGCCATCTGAAGAAATCATCCACCACCCTAACTCATTGCCATCGAGTTGATTCCAACTCACAGCAACCCTATGGGACAGAGTAGAACTGCCCCATAGGGTTTCCAAGGCTATAATCTTTATGGAAGCAGATTCTCCCGCTGAGTGGCTGGTAGGTTTGAACTGCCGACCTTTTGGTTAGCAGTCGAGCACTTAACCACTGTTCCACCAGGGCTTCCGTCCACCCCCCTAAGAATATGTAAATTCCTAAATCCTTCCCTTTTCTCTCAGTCCATCATCTGTTGTAGTTTTGCTTCCTCCCTCTGCAGCCTGGAAGCTGCTCCCCATAGCTCACCACTTCAGCCATTCTCCTGCCAACCCCTCAGTAGCCTAGCCTCCTTGTCTTTCTGCCACCACTTTCTAGCAACCCTCAACCTGAGGTCAATCCAACCATCTGCCTTCCCTGCTTTCACAACCAGGCTATGAGCATTGCCGGAGGTAAACCACACAAGCCTGTGGATTGGGGCCCCACGGACTCACAGTCTACAACCTCACATGACCCTTCCACGTTGTCAGGCAATATTTCATATGTCCCTTGTTGCCTCCCATTTCTGTTCTCCAAACCTGTCCCACATATCCTCAAGTCCCCTGATGCATCCCCACCTACCCTATCCCTCCCAGAAGAAAACCTTTCCTGAAAAAGTTGAAGACAGCTGGTGGGAACGTCATTAATTTCCTAGCTCCCCTCCCCCAGTTTCTCAAACCTTTCTATACAGTGTCAGAGAAAGAGGTGCCCTTTTCCCTGTCCAGGCCAACAGCGCCTCTAGTCTGACTCCTCCCGCCTCCACAGCAGCCTTGTGGACTGGTTATCCCCTTTCTCCTGAACCCATCTACTGGATCATTCCCTTCACCCATGCCACCAACATCTTAAAACAAAACAAGCAAGCAAAACCTCCCTCCATCTCCATATCGTCTAGCTTCCACCCCCACCCTCATAACTTCCCATCACAGTCAAATGTCTTTAAAAATATATCTTTGAAATATTTCAAACATTTTAGAAAAGCAAATAATATAATGATCACAGTTTCATATTGTTTTCCTCTAATAAAACATGCACCCCCCCAATCTTTTCTTCCTCCCTAGAGGCAACCACTGTCCCAAAATTAGTCTTCCTGTCCGTGGTTATATATTTGTGCTGCAAATAAATACTATCTATAAATAGTGCTGTTTTTCATGTTTGTACATGTTACATAAATAATATCATATTTTTCATATTCTGCAACTTGCTTTTTACTCAACGTTATGTTTTCAAGAGTTATCTTTCTTAATACGTATAGCTCTAGCTTATTTGTTTTAATTTTTGGAGAGTACTCCATTGTATAAATATGTCATTGGGTACCGTCCAGTTGATTCCTACTCATAGCCAGCCCATGTGACAGAGTAGAACAGCCCCATAGGGTTTTCTTGGCTGTAATCTTTACAGAAGCAGATCGCCAGGTCTTTCTCCTGCAGAGCGGTTGGGTGGGTTTGAACTGCCAGCCTTTCAGTTAGCAGCTGAGTGCTTAACTGTTTGTACCACCAGGGCTCCTTGTATGAGTATATCATAATTTACTATGCAGCTTCTTAGAGGAGTAATTTCCAGTCTTCAATGTTTCTACATCATCCCCTCCCATCCCCTCTTCAACCCTCTCCAGCTTATGTTCTGCCCTCATCACACCACCAAAACTGCCCTTATCAGGGTCTCCAACCACCACATCCTTAATAAACCCAATGGACACTTCGGCCCGTATCTTATGAACCCTCTGAAACATTCTTCTCTGGATTACTTCTTCCTCCTCCAGGCTCTCTTCCTTCCATTTAGGGGACAGCACCCTCCGCTTTCCTCCCCCCTCTCTGAACTCTCCATCACCACGTTTTTCATGAGTTTTTCTTCTTTTACTGTCTTTTAGATCAGTGGTTCTCAATGAGGGTGGGGGGTTTTGCCCCCAGGGGACATTATGTCTGGAGAAATTTTTGGTTGTCACAACGGGAGGGGGTGGTGGTGTTGCTAGTGGTATCTAATGAGTAGAAGCCAGGGATACTGCTAAACATCCTACAAGGCCCAGGATATCCCCACATCATAAAGAATTACTATCTGGCCAAAATGTTAACAACACCAAAGTTAAGAACCTCTGGTCTAGATGTCGGTCTTCAACAAGGTTCTGATCTGAGCCCTCTTGCTTTCCTACTCTTCACACTCTTCCTGGGTCACCTCACCTGCTAGTTGGAATCTTATAGAAATAGTTGGGCAGGCAAAGACATTTTCTAGGATTCCTTGAGATCCCCCTACACATGCATTGAAGGCATTTCTCGCCCAACAGTTTGCCTTGGAAGCTAGACTTACTCGGACACTAGGCCGCTCTGGAGGGACCTCAGACACCATGTTGTGGTTGGATATGTCGCTATTGGTGATAGCCGGGCGTTTCCCACCTGTTTTATTGGACATGTCCAAGGTCGATCTGATTTCAAGGTGATCAGGAAGAGAAGAAAAAGACTAGTCAAAGGCAAGAAACAATGGAAACCACCCATCCCTTTTCCCTACTCTGCCTCCCACTGTTCCTGCATCAGCATAAAATTAGATTCCCTGCGTGAAGAGATCAAGAGGTCATCTCAGCTGCTCCCTCAGCTCTTCCAAGAAGATTACATGCCAGTGATACTGGACACTATCCTCTTTAAAAAAATTTATTTATTTAAAAAATTTTTTTTTCAATTTTAAAATTTATTTTAAAAAGTCTAGACCCTGTGACTTCAGAACTCCCTTTCCTTCTAATTTAAAAGACACAATGGCCCAGTGGACCATGAAAGCCATTTAATTATCTATTGTTATTTTCCCCTCATTCAGTGAGCCAGCATCCTCAGTGAGAGGAGCTAGCATTTAGCTCTCACAATTATATCAGATCCCCTCACTGCTTCCCTCAACCTCAGACCTGTCTTTCACTCCTTCAGCTCAACCTGAGTTCTGCTGGATCTCGGGAAAAGTAGATGAGGGTGTCAAGCCAGATGGGTCTCAGAAGCTCCCAGTCTTCAGGACTGAGGTAAGTGACCCTAAATCCCTTCTGCTCCCCTCCCCCACAACTCCCCTTCCCAGGGGCACGGTGGCAATGGGGTGGTGGTGGTGAAAGACGGAAAGGCCAAACGGCAAGGTAGGGGGCAAACTTACGTTTTCAAGTCAAATTTTTTGTTTTCCTCTGGGACCTGGCCGGTCACTGGGTGTAGAAATATGTTCCGTCTTTCATTGTGGCTGTAGAGGCAAAAGAGAGAGAAGAGTTGTGATAAAGATGGAGCAGGCAAAAAGATAAGCTGAAGGGTAGACAGACTCTGGACAGTGCCAGGGACAGGAAGAACACGTAAGAAGCTTGTCTCTCTGTCCTCCAGGTGGGATCCATGGGTGGTAAGATGGAGGGCTGGACTACACAGAAGAGGTTGTAGTCTGGATGGAGGATGAGGAGAAGAAATGAAACCTGGTCGCTTTTTTCTAGTCAGTGCTAACTACTTACGAGAGACCCCCCACTTTCACCCCCCTACACCCACAGTGGGAAGCTCTGGTGGCACAGTGGTTACGAGCTATGGCTGCTAACCAAAAGGTCTGCAGTTTTAATCCATCAACCACTCCTTGGAAACTCTATGCGGCAGTTCCACTCTGTCCTATAGGGTCGCTATGAGTTGGAGTCGACTCAATGGCAACAAGTATACCCCTACTCCAGGCTCGAAATAAGCCACACTTCACCTTTTCAGTGGTCACCCTGGGTATGTGGGAAGAGGGGGGCTGGGGAGGGGGTGTTCCTATAGACAATTCAACACAGTCAAACTCTCATGCGTGGCAGGTTCTCTCCCCGGGACAACCACTGCCAATGCTGCACCAAAAAAGTGCTCACTCATTATCTGCTGAAAGAACTCTCTTGTGACCTTGGACTCCTTCCTCCCCTGCTTTGAGCCCCAATCTCTTTCTTTAAATGACATGGGAGATCCAGAAACTCCTTTCTTCAGCTCCAGCTAGGGCCCACCCAAACTCTAAGTCCCGGTCTCCCTGTCTAAGGGCTACTTGATGTAGCGAAGACCTCAGGAGCTGTCAGGTTAGTGCTGGCTCAACAGTCAGATCTAATTAAGTGATGTGGAGGCCTGGGGGTAGGGTGAGGTAGGGTGAGGACAGCCTGCCAGGAAGTAGGAGGGAGCATTAACCAGGCACTGGGTCTCTGCAGAGGCCATGGGAGCCGTATCATCAGGGCTCCTTTGGGAGGTCCTGCTGGGGCTTTTCTGGTTAACTGAATGTCAGGCTAGTGCCCTGGTGGGTTCTCAAGGAGGTAGGAGAGGGAGGGAGGAAGGGCAGCAGACATGGCTGGCACAGTGGGGCTAAGATACAAATGGCGGCCATTTAAGATGGATTCTCCAAGCAGGGACCACCTGGCAAGAAAGTTTAGTGGTGAATCAAGCAACCAGCCAATGGGGGGCCTAGGTGGATTTTAAGGACTTCCTCATCTATCCTCTTGAGAGATACTGGGAGAGCCCAGGTACAGCCTCTCTCTATCCCGGTGCTACCAGTCTACCCTAAGAAGCAAGCACCAGGACAGAGCCTGCGTAGGCTGCTCCGGGGCTCAGGGTCCTAGCACTGGGCCGCCTGAGCAAAGGGCTGGTGCTGTGCTTGACAAGCAGCAGGTCAGCTACTGCCACAGGAAAGAGGTCTTAGCTTGGTCCCTTAGCTCCAGGAGAGACATAAAATACCTTTTGGAAACCCCCTTTCAATAGCCCAGGACACAACCTAGCCCTCAGGCTGTCTGCTCAAGCTGAAGGTAATATCAAAAGGTGTTTGTTCAGCTTCCCAGCCGGTCGTGTTCAGATCTATTCCAGAGACGTGTAGGAGAGAGAGGCACAGTAGGTGCAGCCTATGTGGACCCGTGGGCTTTGCAACCAAGGCTTGCCAAGCGGGACCCTAAACTTGACCAATGTCCACAGGCCTGGGTTTTAACCCTAGCACATTGATAACCTGCTCCTCACTTTCCAAATTTTATCCCGCCTCCTTCCATGGCCAGCAAGGATACTGTCCTTAACCACAGGGGTCTTTGTGCAGTCACCCTTTCCCCTGGTCTGCCCCACCTCAGGGCTGAGGGGCAGGCCGTCTGTGACAACTAAGGAGCTTTGGGTGCCAAGGTCTCTGCTTTCCCAGTGGCGCAGGGCCTCTGCTCCCCACTGACCCACCAGCCCCCTTCTGCTCTGCATGCTCCCCATGGTAACTCTGCTGGAAACTTCCCTTCAGACACACACACCCCCCCACACACCCCCACACACAGAAGCACACACTCCACTATCAACCATCACAAGTCTTCCAGGGTGAGGCAAATTCCTCCTTGCCCCCGACTCTCCTACCCAGAAACTACTAAAAATGACATCCTGTCTCCATCCCCGGCACTACCAATTTCAAAACAGCTTCCCCTTCACAAGCACTGCAATGCAGCAAGCATTGACCTAACTCCTCTTCCTTCTCCAGGTCATCTCAAGCCAGCCCCTCACTCCGAGGTCCCAGGATCCAAACAGGATAACTGCCAACTCAGCCTGCTCTGACTTGACATGCCTGTGGTCTGCTGAAGAAATCCTACCTGACCCGTCGATCAGCCCGAAATTTCAGCATCTTTTTGGCAGCTCTGTCCCCAGTTCAGCAGCCTCAGAGGACCCGCCAGCCACCCTGCTCCTACCATCCCTCTGAAAAGTAAGTCCTCCGTCCCAGCCGGAGTGCCGTGGCGGGGATCCAGGGCCAGCAGCAGCACAAACTCTGCCGGTCCCCGCTCCCGCTGGCTCCGGCAGGCGAGAAGGGGGCGGGGGCGCTCTCTGGGTGGCGGCAGGGGTGCCCTAGTGGGCCCACGGCAGCCTAGCATTCAGTCAGAATGCAGCTGGCCAGAGCGCTGGAGGCAGAATAAGCGAGGAGGGGATGCCCTCCTCCCAGTTCAGGTCCCCAAGGAGAAAATGCTGAAATGGAGAGACAGGCAAACAGAGCAGGTGTGCCACTTCCAGGTAGTCCGACCTCACCAAGCTAAGGACACAGAGTGGCTGGGTGGGCGGAGGAGTCTGGGGCTGCGTTCCCATTTGCCCAGCAGAAACTCATGCCAGCCCGGCCTGCAGGAACAACAGTCCTCCTGGCCTGGCCGACCCCCAGCCCAGAACACGGCCCCTTGCTTCTCAGAGGCCCTTTGGATCCTGTGGGCACAGGGTTAAATGAAGCTCCAGATTCTTTTGCTATGACTGCTCCTGTTGTTGCTGCTACCGCTGCTGCTGGAAAGTTGAGATTGATGGAGGAATTCTCCTTTCTCTTCCCTCAGCAGCCCCAGCCTTCCTCTGTGGAGACCAGGGCACAATGAATGAAGCCTCTCTGCAACCGTCCCCCTGACACACTCCCTTTCAACACAGCTCTGCGCTGCCTGGCCTTCGCTTGGGGGTGGTCCAGCTAATGAGCAGCAATGCTACCGACTCAAGTGGAGCAGACAGGCACAGATGTCATGTAGCCCAAGCTAGTGGCAAGGACCCCGGCTGCCTTACTCAGGCGAAATTGAAAGAAAGCATCTTCCCAAAGCTTATGAGGAAGTGGGCAGCAAATGGGGCTGAAAGGGGGTCACCAAATGTTTGTTTCTGAAAATCTTCCCAGATGCAAGATGATAAATTCCAGCTGACTGTGAGATCTGCTCAGGAGCAAGAGAGATTGCATCGGCGTTAATTCCCCTGAATTCTACGGGGGCTGAAGATGGTCGAATCTCCCTCTTTGCTAATGTCCTCCAGGTCTGAAGATTCTTCTAGAGGTCATGGCTTCCATCCCCCTACCCCCAGGCAAGCCTGCTCTCCAAACAGTCCTCCTTAGGAGCCCTGTTTGTTTATAGAGGGTTTTTGTAAAGGAGGCTCCAGGCCCACTGTTATCTTATCCTGATAGCAAGTTTCAGTTCCTGTGGCTTTCAATGTGATTGCAGTTTGTCCTCGGAAGAGAATACTTTCTGACTAATGTGATTCTTTTTTAGCCACACCCAGGCATTCTGCTGACATCATAGTCTGTTGTTATGGCAATTCTGTGACGTCACAACAGACAGGGAAAGGGAGGGGCTAATCTAATTTTTTGGATTGGTCGGGGAACAACACAATCAGTGAATGGAAAAGCAAACGGCCAACATCATTATTTAAGCCCTGATGAAACAGGCTGCTTGATATAACCGGGGTCAACAGCTCCCAATATTTAAGCAGCTAATCCTAGATCCAAAAGGTCTGTATAGTCAGCCATTCAGTGGTATGTTTTGCAAATGATTGATCCCGATGATAAAATGCCTCGGTTTCCAGACCCCATCCTCTCCCTGTCCCTAATTCATAGCTACTTGAGCTCTGCGATGGTTATGGAGAAGGAGGCCGGGTGGTGCAATGGTTAAGCATTGGCTGCTAACCGAAAAGTTAGCGGCTTGAACCCCCCCATCAGCTCTG